GATGGATGGATGGTTGGATGTATGTATGTATGTATGTATGGATGGATGGATGGTTGGATAAATGAACAAATGGTTGGATGATGGATAAATAAATGGATGGATGAATTCAAAACCAGAAAATATTTAAAAACATTAATTAATTTAAATCTTACAATATTTTGATCATTGCAATCAATCAAACTGAAATAAACATTTTATTTTCTGACTTCAGTAACTCAGTAAACATGTCTCAGTGAAATAAAACAGAAGCTTATCTGCGGATCAGTACTTATGAAGTGATCACTTCAGTTCATCTCTCTTCTACAGGCTCTGTTAGTCATTTCCTTCCCGTCTTTGCTTGCAGTCACGTTGCTCTGTGTTCCTGTTTGATCTCATGGAAATCAGCTGTAAATTATTCAGATTCAGGAAAGCCGAAGTTCGGCTGTTTTGTCAGGCTTCACCTAATTACAGCCTACAGTGTAATCATACAAACCCCATGACTAATGTTGTTTTCATTTAAATTTGAGTTAATTAACACCGCACTATTTCGTCACATTACACTAAATGTTTGATTTCCTAAGCCTTTTACCCAAACCTCCAGCTAAAACTGTTAAATAGTAATTATCTCATTGCTTCAGCTTTTGAAAATATTTTAGGGTAGTATTAACATGCAGCCTAATTAAAGTTCTCTGTTTAGTTCTGAGGACAAAAATATGGACACAATTATTTTGATTGATCTTTTTACATGGCAACAATTGGTAAAATAAAGAAACATTTGGGAGAAATGCTTAAAGACAATTACTGCTTAAACCTTCAAACATATTATTGTAGTGAAATGAGGCATAAGCAGCTGTAAATGGTTTTTGAGGCGCTTTATTTATGTGCTTTTGTGATCTTAGGAGCTGGAGATGATTTTCATTTCGTGTTTCAATGCCACCACAAAAAACAAGCAAAAAATAAAATAAAATAAAATACAAAAGCAGCTTGTGAATCGTTTTTTTGTTGTTGTTATTACCAGAAAATGACACACTGAATGTTTAATTAGGAATATTTTAGAGACAAAAATTCAAGAGCAAAACAGAATGCAGCCAAAGGACAAAATCCCTATTAAATAAAAATGCATTTCAGTCATAACAACATAATTTTATTGTATTTCTTTTCATGAATTCTTGGTTATAGGACAGGATTTAGAAATGGATGCCATGATTGTTCAGTTTTTTGTCTTTTTTAAGCTTGTTTGTAATTAGCTAAATATATGTACAGTTTCAGAGCCATCAAAAGAATCAATCAGAATCCATCCATCATCTATACCCATTTCTTATTTCAGGGTCACGGGGGTCGCTGGTGCCCATATCCAGCAGTCACAGTGCGAGGGGTGGGCTACACCCTGGACAGGTCGCAAGTCCATCACAGGGACACACATAGAGACAAACGAGACAAACAATTCACTCTCTCACTCACACCTAGGGACAATTTAGAGTTACCAATGAACCTAACAATCATGCTTTTGGTCTGTGGGAGGAAACCGGAGAGAACCCACACACGCATGGAGAGAATATGCTAACTCTACCCAGAAAGGTCCCCGGGCCAGGATTTGATCCAGGGACCATCTTGCTGAGAGGCATCAGCTTTAACTGAGCCTCATTCAGAATCATCAGGGTAAAATTTGCCCATTTAAAGCAGTGCTGAAGAGAGACTTTTAGATCACAAATTTTGTTGTCACCTTTAGCTGAAAGCACAATTTTTTATTAAAACTCAACATTTTCAGTCTGACGGCCGCTGGCTTTAAAAGTTTTCATCTCAAAGAGCAAAGATTTTAAATAATGTGATGCTCAGGAAGCACAAAGCAGCCAGTGAAACTCAAACCAATTATCCAACAGAAGCAGACTCAGTTCTGTGGGCTGTGGGAAGTAGGGACGACGGAGGTGCTGCAGCACCCCTTTAACTGCATTAGCCCCAACAAACCCTCACTACTCCCCACCACTTCCAAAGACTCGTTCAAACTTTATCTCATTGTCAAAATAAGAGAAGAATAACGGGAATAGTTGCAAACTTTTATCTGGGGGGGGGGGGTAGGTAGTTGTACAACAGAAAACACAACAACAAGAACATTGTTTTGAGAATAACGCAAACAGTTTTTCTGAAAATTGAGAAAGCAGACATGGTTATGCCTCACCCACCAGTTTGGCAATCACTACATTAGGACATGCATGTCCACACACACATTCATACAAATTAATAATAAAAACAAGAGTTTTATTGGTGCAAATTATGGTAAATTCCAAGAACAAGGTTATCGAGGTCTGCGCATCTGGTAAATAAACCAGCTGTGCTTTTGCATTTCTGCTGGCAAAACCACAAAAAGGAGTGCAGGTTAGTAATTGCATTTATTTTAAACATATTATTTGTCCAAAATAAACTGCATATTTTCAGCATCCACATTCAGATAAAACATGCACTGCTATTGCTAACGCTAATTAAGTTACCATACTCCAATTTTTGTGTTGGTCATGTCAACTAATTATGAGGACTGTCCTGAGTTGACCATCAGTTATAGATACACGTCTGATCATTACTTCCTGTGAGTTTCATTAAAATCTGTCCAGTGGTTCATGAGATATTTTGCTAACAGACACACAAACTAATACGCAGAGTCACTGGGACAAACATCCCCTTCTGGCTTTGGCACTGAGC